TTTATTGTTCATTTAATTTTACTCTTCTCCATGAGAACAAAAATATCTCGAGATAATGTTGGTTAAATGTTTCAACAAAACCTGTTGACTATTTGAAAAGTAAAGGTTTTGACTTTTGACAAAAATGTTTACTTCTTACCGATAGGAATTTTATGTCGCTGTAAAGTTGAGGAAACATTGAGAGTTGATAATGTTAATATAATAAACTTGGTTAGACAAGGAATGAGGTTAAACATGATAACTTTAAATGTATTGCCATTCAACAAATCACAGAATAAAAGTTGGTGAAAATGTCAACAACAGATGAAAAAGAGATGAAGATTTAGTGATGAACTTGATTTGGCTTGATTTGAGTTTGTTTGTTTCAGTAATAATTTGAGGAAAAACATTTGTAAATCACGGTACATAAACAATGTTATTAATCCTTTTAACGATTAGAAGAGTTGAGTAGAAAAGATTTTCATGGTTTTCTGTCTTTTTTCAACATACTATATTATAATATTATCAACTATGGAAGGCCTGTAAAAGGATGATTGAGATTATGTTTATGATGATGGGGATTGGTGTTACTAAAAAAGGGGGGATTTAATAACATTTTCAATTTTAAATAAGTTATCTATTAAATGAAGCCAGTATTAGAAGCTATTAAATGAGAAAATATTTGAAGGTTACAAATCATCTCGTCCTTCGATGCTTGGCTTGTGATCAAACAGTCTCAATATGGATGTTGTATGCTATTGATGGCTGAATTGAATTAAAATTAAAAACCATGCTACATACACACTGTCATGCACACATGTGATCACTACATCGGAGATTTTCAAGGATAAAAAGCGAGGCCCTTGGGGCCGAGAGTCTTACCATTTATCAATCACTTGAATGTTGGACAAAAAAAATGATTTGAATTTCTTTTTCGTTTTTCACCCTTTTTCATGTGAATTATCACAATTTGAGCAATCAATGAGATTCGAGTTTGGCCAACATCATCTTTTCGAATCTTCGTCAACTTTCATCTGAAATAGCTTTCAATCATTCAACTGAACCCAACAATCAACAACTATTAATAATAACAATAATAAGATTAATGAGAAAAGGTGAAGGAAACAGAAAAAAAGTGATCTTAAAATTTTCTGACTGTTTCTGACTTCGCCAGACTGTTCAGTCAGACTGAGGTCTATTCTAACGTCTAAGGTCTAACGATTAATGAATGTTACATTTTTACACTTGAGGTTAGTAAAAAGAGTTTTAGTTAAACATCATTTTAAAGGTTAACATGAGTAAAAATAAAGTTAACACCAAATTGTAACTAAATTATACATCTAATACTGAGTGGTAAACGACTAATACTAAACGGATAGGTCAAAAAGTAAACGGCTATATCTTAGGAACGGATTTGTTTATTGATCTGAAAATTTGTATATAAATAGATTTTTATTAGGAATTAATGATTCGCTATTTCAAAATACTCTCACCTCTTTACAATTAACGCTAAAACATAAAAACAGCTATAAATTTTTGACAAGTTTAAATCGAAATGTTATAATCCCATTATAAACTGCTTTTTCGAGGCGTGTGAGTGTTTTTATTTCGCTTCTAAATACCCTGTCTTTTAGAAATTCTCAAATTCCTGGTAAAGCATATTAACATGAAATTAAAAGGACCGCGATCGTGCACCTATCTCTCGAGATATAAAGCCCCAAAGTTTAACCTACTCGTTTACACATCTCTTACATGTTTGTGTGTCTTTTACAGGAGCGGTTCCTTCACTTTTATACAAATCACAATAGTGATGTATAAATATTATTATTTGTGCAATAATGTTCGATATTTTCGCATCGATATTTTTTACAATATATCGAATATTTAAATGAACTTAACTTTTGCTATCAACGGACAAATTTAAACTCCACAGAAGAGAAACTCAATTTTTACTTTTGTTGTTTATTTCTCAACTTTTTTCCGGTCATTCTATAACCTTTGGCTGAATCATTTTTAGTCTTTTCCAAGTCTTTTTTTACCTTTTTGTGAATCATGCCAAAGACAAGTAAATACTGGTCTTATGTTGAAAAGTTGACTGACCAAGAGTCAAAATGTTTTCTGTGTTCGAAAAAAGTGAAAGCGCCCAAAAACACTTCTAATGCTGATGGTATTGATGATGTAACTCGCTAGATCTAAAAAGTGCGCATCCTGAAGTAAATTTTCAATATTTCAAAATCTAATATTGCGATACTTTATGATTATTACAATCTCTTTCAATTTAAGTTGTTATATCAACAAGATCATCAATGATTTTTGGGGTTTTACTTGGCAAATTGTAGCCAATGCAATAGTAAATCTTGTTAGTTCAATTCCTCTAATTTTTAAACGATTCTTTCTTCAGATGGCGAAATCGATCAAATTAGTGAATAAGATTGCTTGGCTTTGAATAATGATTGTTTGAATGCACACACAAAGAGCCGATAGAGTATTTTCTAGACAGTTTTCAGCATTCAGACTATTTTTTCGTCGCTTCCTAAATGCATTAAATTTTTGGTTAATCACAATTTTTTTGTGTGCTGTTTTTTGCTCCAAATCCATTGTTTTAAGTTGATCCAGATGTAATAAATTGGTTTTTAATGAATTGAATGTATTTATCAATATTTATCTTATTTATCATTATGTTTTCAGGTTTAACCATACTTGTTTGAATCTTACTCATCCATTGTTAAAATTAACGTAAAACTATTCAGGTACATCAATCCTTGATTAATCGAAATTTCCCATGAAAAAGATCTATTCAATGATCTGAATTTTACTCATTTTCACCTCTAACATAAATAAGATTAAAACTTTCAATTGTTAGCTAATCGTTTGACGCCCCTTTTGAACTTATTATCCAATTAATTATTCAGATATGATTTTTGTCGTTTAGATATTTCAAATATAAATAAAAGTTGTAAATCAGTCGATTATCTATTCAAAACGCTTTTCACAACATTAACGGTAAAACATCAAGAAAAAAGTTTTATGATGAAAAATATTTTCAACTTTTATTTTTTCCTTTGTTTTCTTTACTCAGTTTTTTGTGATGATTTCAAATGCCCTGTAAGGGGTAAAAAAGGTGAATTGAAAGTTCCAAATGTTCTCAGTTTAATTGATAAACAAACTGGTTATCGTGCTTCTGTTGAAGTCATTAATCCAACTCGAAATAATTTGGTTTACGATTATTATGATGTGGAAAATAAAGTTGGCTTTATTGACCTGGAAGCGACCGTTCAGGATGTGCTGAATCGACGTTACTATTACCATTCAACAGAGGAAAAGCTTGCTGTACGAGAAGGTACATGTACGAGACTTGATTTAACACAAAACGAGAAGATCAAATCGGTTAAAGATTGGTTCGAACCAGCTGATATTGTCGCTAGTTCAGGGATATTCAAAGATTTGGTTCATTTGGGACCAACAGCATTGATGATCTATGCCAACAATATTAGTGATAAAGCTTCGTTCATAGGATCTGAACTGATTGAAGGTCGTACTGTTAATCATTGGTTTTATTGTTCTAATCCTGCTGGACCTTACATTGACTTTTACTTTGATGTTAAGACTTCATTGCCTCATCGGTTCTCGTTGTATTATCCTGAATGGATTGAGACTGAGGAAGTCATTTCGATAAATGAAACAAAAATAGTTAAAAAGCAAGTTGATTCGGATGAAAAATATGTTTTTAACTTTTGCATGTTCGAACCATTGGTCATATCATCAGATGAGCCACTTCCTTATCCATTGGGTTATGGATGTGCTCGTATAGGAACACGTCCATCTACTCCATTACCAGATTTTAGTAAAGTTAAAGAGTTCACTATGGACATGGAGGCGATAATAACCTATCCTGACCGTGAGCTTATCAAATCAACTGCTCGAATAACGAAACGAGGCGATGATATTTCATTCGAAATCAAAGAAGAAAATTTTTCTGTGCGTTTCGTTGAAATGCCTCTTCCTTTAGGGCGATTTAGAGTTGATGAACACACCGGTCACTGTAGATATGAATCAGCAGATTATCCATCTTCGGATACACTTGTCACTCGCTGGCCTCTCAATGGAGATCATGGCTTTAACCTACTTTATTATCTGGTAATGAAACCACCTCAACATATTTCACCCACAACTTTCATCGGTGAAATAACTTTAGGACCTCTTCGAGTGGAAGAATACAGAGTAAAGGACTTCTTCTCCCATTCAGTTGCTGCCATTGTTG